AGCAGAGACACAACAAGAGGAAGCAGAGACACAACAAGAGGAAGAAGAGAGAACAAGAGGAAGAAGAAGAGCTGGATGTGTTAAAGTGATGAAGGTCACATCATCTGTTTTAATCTCTTCATGGACGTCTTCAGTTATTCAAGATATTTTCTAGTTTTCAGTTTATTTTCTTCTGCAGATTAAAATCACAGATATTATATTTTGTATCTCAAACATCTCCAGAACCTTCAGAGAGTTCTAACGTGGTTCTCTGTGGACATCAAACATAAACGCTGAGGCAGAGAACGTCTCAATGCTTCTCTTTTTTCTCACCATTTAGTGTCGATTCTGAAAGAAAGAAAATCAGGAGCTGAACTGAGGAAACGTCCTCCATCACAATCAATAATCAGCGTAAGGCTTCTCCTCTTTCATTCAGTAACAGAGAGAGTTTTAAGGCAGCTCCTCCTCCTGTTGTGCTTTGAGCAGTTAGTCTGTGACGAGGACGGCGGGGGGGAGAGGTTAGTGTTTAGTGAGGAAAAGCAGAGTTAAAACCAGACGCTCTCCTCCTCCTCGAGTCAGAAGGTGTTCAGAGTAAAGACAGACTCCTCCGTTCTCCTTCTCATCACAGGAGGAGTGAAAAAAGGAGGAAGTTAGAAAAAGACGAGGAGAAAATCTCCTCCGTCGTCAACAGTCTTCAGCTGAGATGAGGAGGTCTGCAGGAGGTCAGGGGGGGAGGAAGGAGAAGATCAAGAGGAGATCCTGTCCTCCTTTGGAGGAGTTTAGAGGGAGGAAAGAGGTGAGGAGGAGGTGGAGAGAGGGAGGGAGTCACTTCACCAGCACTGACTTCGGCAGAAACGACTCCATCTTGGCGCCTCCATCCGTCCTCGGCGAAGCCAAAGACGCGGAGGAAGAGGAGGAGGAGCTCAGTGACGAGGAGCTGGCAACGGTGGCTTTGGGGAGGCTGTACATGTAGACGGCACCGATGACAAGCCCCGCCCCCACCGTGAAGAGCAGGTCCACCTGGAAGCCGAACAGATAGACGGACATCACCGTGGACACGATGATGGAGAAGGAGGTGGCGAAGCCCTTCAGGATGTTGTCGGCGTACTTCACCACCACGGCGACCAGCAGCCCGCCGAACGCCTGGTTGAAGATGACGCACCACACCGTGCCGGTGTAGCCGAACAGGAAGCCGCGCTCGGCGACCGCGGCGCCGTCGTTCCACCAGAGGCCCAGCGCGCCGAGCGCCGTGCCGAAGATCCCCAGCTGGACGTTCCTCATCCAGACGGACGCCGAGCTCCCCTTCAGGATCTTCTCGAAGTAGACACCGGCGAACCCCGACGACAGGCAGCTGATCACCACGGCCACCAGACCCACCGAGTAGTTCTGGTGGGAGTCCTCCGACACAGACGCCTCCTTTTTCCCCTCCTGCTCCAACTGAGAGGAGATCAAACGACAATCAATCGGGTTATAACCAGTAACAGGAACAAGTACGAAGGTCTTCTACTGCAGTAAAAGTACTACTACAGCAGGGGTCTCAAACTCCTCTTCACTCTGGGCCACATCAGCATCACGGTCGCCCTCAAAGGGCCGGTGTAAATGTAAGACGGTGTAAATGTAACTACTCCTAACATATAGGTCAATAACTGTCTCTGCATTTGATTATTGTTTATTCAAGTGTGAAAATATTGTACATGCAGTTATATGAATATAAAATATATTTAAGCACATTTCTGTTATTATAACATAAATCATTTTAATTTAGGGTTAATAAACCCACATTACTCTATCAAAGATCAAACTATTAAACTTTTAAAGAAAATAACAAAGTCAAATATCAAACACAAGTTATGACATTAATTATGTCACCTCTCTGCATC